AAATGACTTGAAGGCACACAACGCACCTACCCACACCCACAAACACACCCACTTGTGAAGTCGAAGGCTTTCACGGCCGGCATCCATAGGTTTTTGTGGGTGTTTCTGGGCTGTGAGGCCGTGTTCTAGAAGAACACAGCCCGGAAAACCCCACAAAAACCCACACACACACTTATTTGTCGTCTGCTTAGATTTGTACCCAGGAACATCTTTAGATCTTTATGTCGTTTTTTTTATTAGAAAACACAAGGCATGAAGTTACAGAGGGGGGAAAAAATAGGGTCTGGTTTCCTGTGAGTGATTCACAGTTGTGTAAATCCAGCATACACAACGTCCAGCTGGAAGTCTCGCCACTGGTTCCCCCTGCTTTCGGACAACCTGGAAGTCACCATGTTTGGATGTGTTTGTGTGTGGCTTGTTGTTGTTGTTGTGTGTGCTCCAGTTGTTTCTGACTTATGGCAACGCTAAGGTGAGCCCATGACAGGGTTTTCCTGGCAAGATTTGTTCAGAGCGGGTTTGCTATGGCCTTCTGCCGAAGCTGAGAGTGTGTCACCCAGTGGGATGCCATGACTGAGCAGGCTTGCAAGGTGGCTTTCGGGGCTGGTAGCATCAAGAGGATGCTTTAATTGGGAGTTCCTGCATACCAGGGGGTTGGACTGGATGGCCCTTGTGGTCTCTTCCAACTCTAGGAGTCTACGACTGCCTCTTCAATCCCTGAAAGCCCAGCATAAACTGAAGGCCGTCATGCAACGGCCCCCGAATGTGCACCGGTCAGCACTTGTGCAACCGTGAACGGAGAATATGGCCGTTTCACGACAGCCGAAAAAGTACAACGCAGACACCAGAGAACTTGGGTAGGCGGAGGAGTTGGTATAGCGTAGTGGCATGAGGGTTGGACTAGGATTTTGGGAGGCAAGGATTCGAATCTCTGCTCAGCCACGGAAGCCCGCTGGGTAACCTTGGTCCAGTTGCACTCTCTCAGCCATGGCAGGCCGCCTCAGAATAAATATTGGTGCAAAGAGCCTAGGCTAGGGTTGTCAAGAGTCGCACGGAAGGCACAGGACAATGGTGCCAAGAGGATCCTGCCCATTTCTGGTAGTGTGTGTCTGTGTCTGTATCTGCCCAGGGTTGCTGGCAATGGATTGACACAGCTGCCTGACTTTTTATGGGTTCTTTCGATGGCATGACTCTGGGGCTCCCTGTCCGAGGAGCTGCAAAACGGTGTTTCACCGGGCCAGAAAAAGTAGGGGCTGTGTCACACGAAGGGACCAAGAAAGGGTTACGGTAGAGCACTCACAAATCGGTGGGGCAGCTGCTTAGAATCAAGTTCCCTATCCTGATAAGGTTGCCCTCCGTCTGGTTTGCTAAGAGGGCTTGTTTTTATTGCTTTCCACGCTCAGGAGCAGCTGTTTCAGTGACAACTGGAGCAGGGAAGGTCTGGTCTTCTCTTCCGGGAAATGTCCTCCATCATCTTAAACAAAGTCTTAAACCCACGCCAGGGAAACACCAGGGAAGGGAATATCTGATCTCTTTGGAGGGTCCTTGGGGCTTAGAAAAGGGCCTTTTTGAACCAAATCTTTTCCCACCACTAACGTGAATGTTCAAAATCCACCGTGGGATGGAGCAACGGCGCTCCATTTTGCATCTGGGAATTGGCTATTTATGGCCGAATGCCCCTGCTGATGTGCCAGCGGAGGGTTAACACCTTGGCAAGCGGCCGAAATGTTTGGTAGTGAAACTAGAACGGCCCGTGTTAAAAATGCACATGAAGAAATCGAAGCTGGACAAGAAACGGTTTTGCATGATCAGCTTTACGGGGGGGAGAAAAGTTCCTTTTTGTACCACAACTCCTTGAACTCCCTACTAATACCCCCTCCCCAGTAACTTTTCCAAACTCTGGATGGCTCCAGCTCTCAGGAGGCCCTTGAGATGGAGCCACCTGGGACTTACGTAGCAGTAGTTTTCCTTCCAGTTGGTGCATGAGGTTCCTCATTTATTTCCCATAATGCCCAGGGCAACGCTATTTCGGTGGAATTGTGGGAAATTAAAACGGCAGCCTTCACAGATTGGGTCCCATTGTCCGGTTTTTCATACGTAGGCGTCTATGTCTCTCGCTCCAATGCCCTCGCCCAAGTTGCAATGTATCATTAGTTACTTAAACCAGGAGAGCCAGCATGGCGTTGTGATTTGAGTGTTGGACTACAACTCTGGAGATGAGGGTTCGAATCCCAGCTCAGTCATGAAGCCCACTGGGTGACCTTGGGCAAGTCCCACTCTCTCAGCCTCTGGGGAAGGCAATGGCAAACGTCCTCTGAACAACTCTGGCCTAGAAAACCCCAGGATAGATTCGCCGTTAAGTCAGAAATGACTTGAAGGCACGCAACAACAACAGTTCAACCAGAGGCAGGCCGATGTCATGTTTTGGGAATATGTAGTTTGGTTTTTTACTAGATCCCTGCAGTTGACCTAACTGGGTCTGCGTTGAATCGTACCCACTTTGACTGGGATGCATGGGAAAGCCAGGAATGGGAGGGCGATCCTCATTTGGGAGAAAAGAAAAGCCTTTCCTACCGAGGCCTGGCTTGACATTAGGAAAGTTGCCACCAGAGGCAAAAGATGCTAAAGCTGCATAGGTGCCTGTGCTTTTTTGTACCAAAACTGACTGTGCCATTGAATCTTACTTCAGAAATGGCAATAAGATCGCCGGTAGCACCTCATTTACAGGCTAGTTGAAGGTGCGTGGGAAACCACATTGCTCACAGGTTAGCGCTTCTGCCGCCACCCATAATTTGCTGCCTGAGGCAGTGACTGTTCTGTATAACGGCCAGGCTAGTTCTGTTTGTGCCTGTAATGGTTTTCCGCCCCCTGCTTCCTTCCTTCCTTCCTTCCAGAGATCAGACATGTATTTGCCCAGGTGCTAGAGGAATATGGGATCAGGTATACCCGAATCCCTATAGAACCAGACCTTCCCCGTTGCGACTGGATAGACCCTCCCTTGATGGCCTTCTATCGGAGTGTGGAGAAGGACTCGCTTGACACAGTGGAGGTCTTCCGGAAGCATCATATAAGGTAAGGGCATCCATGGTTCAAAGTACCGTTGGGTGTGCCAGTTCTGGACCCGTCTTAAAATCATTTCCATCCAAAGATGCTTTCCACCCAAGAGATGGCATAGTTGGTGTACCAGCAAAAATGGAACTATGATGGTCCAGAGGAATGAGCAGACATGTATATATATACACACACACATGCACACACAAAGGGAATTCTTTTCCTTCTCTTTTATTTGATTTTATTTATTTCATTTATATGCTGCCTTTCTCCCCGAAGGGACCCAAGGCGGCTCACAGATTGAAGAGATATACCTTTATAATTGACATTGTAGATGACACAAAAGAAAAAGACATGGCATAGTCCAAGGAAACCTATTAGCTGTATTCATGGGATGTAATGTGCCCCTTTCTCTCTCGACAGGTGGCCAGATATATATATAGGCTTGAGCACCATGGGGAAAAACATGTCTCTTGTCAAGATCCTCGGTGCCATCGATAATGCAACGGCAGCGTACCTGGCGAAAGAGACGCCCGCCGTTCCGAGGAGTTCCTCCTTGGGCTCCGATCCGGAAGCCAAAAGCGTAACCATTGAACTGATGACCCATCCGGGGTACCCTAGTATCCTGCCGGTTGGGGGCTGCGGTGAAGGACCGGATGATTTCTCTCAGTCCTGGGAACGCTTGCATGAACTGGAGACCTTGAAGAATCCAGAGCTGCAGAGGCATTACAAAGCAAGGAACATTGAACTGTGCGCCTTTCGACACCTTGAGATGTGACGGATGGACGGAAGCGGATGCTTTGGTTGGGACGGCGGAGGCAGGGCCGGATCCGGCGTCACACCTGGGGTGTCGTAGGTGTCACCACCCCAAACAAATAGAAATACCTTAGAATGGTCCTTTCCGTTGGAGAGGGAGATCCTATTGGGGTCCTTGCCTCTCCAAGGAGGTGTCCTCAGCTCACCCCCCTTCACAAAAGAGAGAAGATGCTTTCTTTCTCCATTGGTCAACCTGGCATGTGTGAAGCAAGCAAGGATCTTGGGGGGGCTTGTGGTTTTGTCTTTGCCGTCAACACCAGCTTGGAAAAAAACTCCTTTTTATGAGCTGGAATGCTTGGATGAGCTTCAATGTGTTAGGAGTCTCTAACCGTCAGGATTGGGGAATGGATAGAGAGGCCTGTGTCGATTCAACACAAAAATAAAATGTCAGCTCATGAAGGAACCTACCAGCTGTCCCCGTCATGGGAACGTGGGCCATGGTTTGCAGACTTGATTCAACCGGAGGTGCAAGAAGTTCATGAAAACTCTGCATCTTGACCGGTTGAAATCCTGCTCCAGGGGTGGCAACTTCGGTGGGTCTTGGGGCCAGCTTGCCCTATGGGGTACCTCTACTTTACTGCTCCATGTTGCCAACATGAGCAGTAATCCTCATATCAGGAAAACATATCCAGAGGTAGCCATGTTGGGCATACAGCAAAGCACAATAACATCCAAAATCCATACCGTGTACCTTTATTGGGCCAACTGCAGGACAGAGACAAGCTGGATCTCAAAGGAGGTTTCTTGGAATCTTTTACCTAATTTATTCATCTCTATGGTAATTCTATACTGCTCCTTTGAGATTCAGCAAGGCAGCTGCAATGGGTGTATTGTGATGCCCTTGCATGAAAATGGCCATTGCCTACAGCATAGATCTTATAAAACAGAATGGGGACAATGCTAGACAATGCTAAAACATAATGCGGTCTGCTGTTTTATTTTTTGGGATCGCTTGTTGAGATCTATAGTTTCAAAGTAAAAAAGAGGCTGTC